TGGCCATCTGAGGTATTTTTAAATGAAAAACTAAAAAAATTCAAATTGCCATACCTCTAATCATATTACTGACTAAATAAAAGTTACAAACAAATCTATGATGAAGAAAGAGAGAACTTAAGAGGAAAACACATCTCTGTCCAGTGTTGATCTAGGAAAGTAAGACATTACATATGTAGTTCAAATGGAATGTTTTAAATGCTCTAATTAGTCTACCACTGTTTTTTAGTGAGAGTCACTCTCAATTGTCTCTGTACCATTCTCTGAGATAACTGGTGGTGGTGGCTGAATAAGGGTTAGTTTCCAGGTTGGAGGCTACTCATTATTCCCAGCATCTAAAGGTAAGAATAGAATATGAAAAGAAAGGAAGTGTTACAGTCACTGCTCTCTTCCTGCTCCTTCATGTTTCTCCATTCACATCCTGCTGCTTCTTGCATAATTATGAGATAACCATAAAAAGATAATTATATGTGTGACATTATTAGTATTAATAAGAGCACTGTACCCTTGTTACATCCAACCAAAACAAGAAGTAAGAAGGGCCCACAGTTTGAATGAGAACACTGAAGTTTACTCAAGGTTACATGACTAATAAGTGGTGAAGAGAACTACAAAACAATTTCTATCTCCAAGTCTAGCACTCTTTCTTCTACTTGTGCTGTTGTTATAATCTGAGTAAATTAGGCAGACTAAATTTACTATGAGTTGCCAAATATTAAAAATAAAACACTGGAGTTGACTGGAAGATGAAGGGTTTATCATCCGATTCCATTCCAGTGACAACTCAGAAACACAAACTACTAAAAACTCCCTGCAAACCTCTTTTTAAACATTGTTGATTTTTCTATGTAAATTGATTGTTGAAAAAAAATGTTATTCTAGTAGAAACTAAACTCTTTTAGAATTCAGCCTGGGCACAGTGGCTTATGCCTGTAATCTCAGCACTTTGGGAAGCTGAGGAGAGAGGATCACTTGAGGCCAGGACTTTCAAACAAGCCTGGGCAACAGAGCAAGACCCAAATCTCTAAAAAAAATTCTTAACTTAGCTAGCCATTGTGGTGCATGCCTGTAGTCCCAGCTACTTGGGAGGCAGAGGTGAGAGGATCACTTGAGCCCAGGAATTAGATGATTCAGTAAGCTATTACTGTGCCACTGCACTCCAGCATGGGAGACAGAGTAAGACCCTGTGTGTAAAAAAAAAAACGGGGGGCGGGGGGTATGTGTGTATATGTATACATATATATATACATGTATACACATACACCCATACTTTTTTATAATATACTATATTATATATATATTGTATATATAATAATATGTAATAATAATCAATTCTAAGTAATTCACTAGATTATCCAATTTATATCAAAATACAGAGGTATCTGATTTCTTAAGTGAGCTAGTTCTGTGGGTAATTAAACCTGAAGGTTTAGTCAAATAATAGATATTCACTGAGTCACCTTACTTCCATGGGGTTTACAATCTAAGGAAGCAATCTGGCTTTTAAAACAATAAGCATGAATCTGAGGAGTACTAAGAAGGAGAGATAAAGAACATATACTTTTGAAGCAAATTCCTGAAGAGAAAGAACAAGAATAAATGTAAATAAAAAGAAAAAAAAATTCTAAGAAAATCTTATGTGTTTGGAAGGGGGGAAATTATTTCTAGGCCTTATGTGAGTATTACATGTTTGTATATGTATATGTAACCTTTCAAATACTGTTTCTGCTACAGAGAGGTAGGGAAGCTGGGAGATACACAAAGATGGGGTACTAGGCCGTCTTGTTCTTTTTTTTTTTTTTTTTTTTGAGATGGAGCCTTGCTGTGTTGCCCCGGCTGGAGGACAGTGGCACGATCTCGGCTCACAGCAAGCTCCGCCTCCCGGGTTCACGCCATTCTCCTGCCTCAACCTCCAGAGTAGCTGGGACTACAGGCGCCCGCCACCACGCCCGGCTAATTTTTTGTATTTTTAGTAGAGATGGGGTTTCACCATGTTGGCCAGGATAGTCTCGATCTTCTGACCTCGTGATCCGCCCACCTCGGCCTCCCAAAGTGCTGGGATTACAGGCGTGAGCCACCGCGCCCAGCCTGGGCTGTCTTGTTCTAAACTTTAAAATCTTCTGCTCTTATCCGGGAAAAAAAGAGAGGGATGCCTACCAGAGCTACAGCAGTAACGGAAACTTACAAGGATGGATGGTGACTCCAAATGAAATCACTGGATCAAGCAAAAATAACCCTAGGGATTTCAAGAGAGTGAAAGAAAAGAGTTACAGGTTTCACTCTTTGAAGAGATAAATTTTAAAAAGAATCATAATTTAAAATTGTAGTAGTCGATGGATAGTTTGAAGAATGTTAACCATACTTGGATTCTATTGTTTATACCACATAATCTACCTTTTTTTTTTTTTTTTTTGAGACGGAGTCTCGCTCTGTCACCCAGGCTGGAGTGCAATGGCCGGATCTCAGCTCACTGCAAGCTCCGCCTCCCGGGTTTATGCCATTCTCCTGCCTCAGCCTCCCGAGTAGCTGGGACTACAGGCGCCCACCACCACGCCTGGCTAGTTTTTTGTATTTTTTTTTTTAGTAGAGACAGGGTTTCACCGTGTTAGCCAGGATGGTCTCGATCTCCTGACCTCGTGATCCGCCCGTCTCGGCCTCCCAAAGTGCTGGGATTACAGGCTTGAGCCACCGCGCCCGGCCTAATCTACCTTTTTTTAACTTAACATGAACTTTTTTTTTTTTCCAAGACAAGGTCTCACTCTGTCACCCACCAATGATGTAATCTCAGCTCACTGCAACCTCCACCTCCCAGGCTCAGTTCTCCTGTCTCAGCCTCCCGAGCAGCTAGGACCATAGGCGCATGCCCCCACACCTGGCTAAATTTTGTATTTTTAGTAGAGATGGGGTTTCACTGTGTTGACCAGGCTGGTCTTTAACTCCTAAGCTCAGGTGATCCGCCTGCCTCGGCCTCTCAAAGTACTAGTATTACAGGCATTGAGCACTGTGCCCGGCCTACATGAACATTTAACCTGTGTAATTAAACAGTCACCGAGAATATCATTTTTAATAACTGCATCCATCTAGAGATGTGCCATAATTAACCAATCCATTACTATTGTATATTCCATTATTTTCATTTTTCCTATTATAAATAAGAGTGAAATGAATATACTTGCAGGTAAATCTTTGTGTACTCAAATATTTTATGAGTACTTGTATGCAATTTACTTTGATTAAAATTATTGCATCAAAAAATAAGATGTATAAATAGAGGGATCAACATAAAATAAAGCAAGCACAGCAAAATGTTAATGGTAGACTTTAGGTGGTTTAAGTATATAGATATTCACTGCAAAATTCTTTCAACTTTTCCATATGTTTCAAATTTATTGGGAAATGTTGGAAATGAAAAATGTTGAAAAAAATTACATTTTATGAGGCTAAATTCCTAGAATTGGACTAGATTATTCATAGTATGTGCACATCTTTAAACTTTGTGAAGTTAAAACATCAACCAGAAAGTGTCAGTTCCCTCACACTGTCAACACCACTTTTTAGTGCTTTTCAAATCTCTGCCAACTTGTTAGGCAAAAACTAGTAATTCATTTTTTAAATCATCATTTCTATGTTAATTTTTAAAACTTTTTTTAAGTTAATATATAATGAATTGAAAAGCTTCCTAATATGCTTGGCTTCAAATTTGATGTTGGTTATTGGAACCATGAAGCAGTAATCAAGATTCAAGCACCCATCTGGGGGCACTTAGCTTATTACCAAGCACAATACTCTCAAGAATAACTTGCAAACCAAATTATAAATAGGTGAAAGTTACTTGCAGGCCAGCATCATATACAGGCAAGGGGGCTGATGTCTGATTGGCAAATGGGCCTGATTTAACATGTTCTGGGAAACAGTTCTTCCTGCACAAAAAAAAAGTCACCTCTTTCATTTTCCCAGGATGCTCAGAATTCAAACACTAGTGATTTCTTCTTTTGTGTTGAAATAATTAGGTCCTCACCAATCCTCTTTGAAAAGTCAAGTATTCTATTTCAATATGAGTGCCATATAATTGTGGTGCTTCCATAGGATGGAATGGAATGGAGTCACTATAGAGAACTATGGAAATCTGCATGTACTGACATGGAAAGATGTCCGTGATATACTTGTTCATTGAAAAAAAAAAAAAAAACAAGTATGTATATGTGTGTACATGATAGAAATATGTGAAAGGATACTTACTAAAATGTTACCAGTGGTAAACTACTGAAGGACATATGGGACATTTTAAAATCCTTTTTATATATTTCTCTATTATTTATTTTTATAATGGGCATATACAATTTGTACAAGAAATACAATAAGGTTGTTTGCATTTCAATAAAAAGAAAATTGAAAATATCTCAGAAAACCATTCATTCATTAGTACCATAATAAAATTTGGTTTAGCAAGATTTTCAAGTCAAGGTTAAAGTCTCCTAAGGAATAAGATCCAGATTCAACATATTTTCAAGGGAAAAGGGAATAAAGGCAGAGCAGGCAAAAAGGTCTCCAATCAAGTATTAAGCAGCCTGGGGCTAGGGCTATATTATCTTCAGGGAATTTTACTTGGAAAAAAAAAATAAATAGACAACAGAGGCATCTGTGGTATTCAGGTCCAAGAGAAACCAAAAGTATGACGGCTCACTACAATCTGGAGTCAGAGTGGATCTTCTATAACTTTACCACAATTCTTGCTTTCAGTATTACATAGGAAAATACCTCCTTCTCCTGCTACAACAGGCCCAGGATCCAATGGCAATTGGATATCTCTCCAATGGGAAGAAGTTTAAAGTTTTTAAAATATTTACTTAACAGAATTAAAGTATTTTATTTCAATATGAGTGCGATATAATTGTGGTGCTTCCATAGGATGGAATGCAATGGATTCATTAAAGCATACATTTTTAAATGTATACTTTATGGAGACTGAAAAGAAGAGCGTGACACATTAAACTACTCACCTCCATGGGAGGACATGTCTGTCCATGGGTAGATGCTCCTGGATGTGACATCACAGACCCACTCTTAATTTGAAAGTGTATTTTGCACATGTAGCCATCAGAACAGTCCTGTGTTTCACCACCAAAAAATATATAAGAAAAAGTCAATTATTTTAAGAATTCATCATTTTAACAACCACTTCCCATAAGTTCCAAACTGATCAGTGAAAAACTAAATGTACTAAATGAGATGAGACTATATGGATAAAGAGACTAGTCCAACACCCTGCACATAGTAAGTACTCAATAAATGCAAGTTTTATTCTCCTACCTTTCTTATTTATTAATGATGTTTCCCCCTCCTAGATTAAATCTTTCCCTTTTTTCCCTCACTAGTCCATAGCACCAAGATCACAGAACAAAAATTAAGCTTATAGAAATAGCTTGTCACATAATTAATATTGATTTTCATGGCCTACCCATAGAGAACAATTTCAGGACTTGCAATAGATCTCAAAGCTGCAAGACAGCTTCCATTTCAATTTCTTTCTCACGGCAAGATCTCTATGAAAATGTCCCAGAAAGGTAATTATGCATCTCAGCAACTGCCTGAGCACCTCCAGGAACTTGGGCTTGTTACTCCCTTACATAGCGGCCATTTCCATTTTAGTGCATTGTACATTAAGAAAGTTTTGTCCTGTATTTCACATCCTTTAACTTTAACTTACTTAGTTCTGCCCTCTGCAGTCTAATCCCTTTTCCACACAGCTGTTCTTCCAAGAGCTGAAGAAATGACCACCATATGCAAATACTCCTTACAAGATATGGCTTCTGAGCCCTTTACCAGTATTTGTCTCCTGCTTCTTGTACTTGCTCTTAAATACACTAATGAATGATGTTCATCTAATTGTGGCCAGTTCCATTTTTTTAAGGTAACACTTGTTTGAATTCAATAAAATCATGTGTAAGAATATAATACCTCCCCAAGCACAAACATACATGCCAATAAATATTAATTCCCCACCAAATTGTCACACCAACATTTACATTTTAATAGCATTAAAATAACAATAAGGACTAAGGGGTTAATCTTCCTATAAGAAGAGGGAAATTTGGATGCAGTGACACAAACAGGGAAGAAAGCCATGTGAAGATGAAGACTGGAGCCACCGCTCCAGTCTTCTAGCATCTAGGAGCTAAAGAATGCCAAGGATTGCCATCAGCCACTGGAAGCTAGAAGCAGTAAGGAATGGTCCTTCCCTAGAGCCTCTGGTGGGAGCAGGACCCTGCCAACATCTTGATTTCAGACTTCTTACCTCCAGAACTGTGAGAGAATAAATTTCTGTTACTTTAAGTCTGTGGTACCTTGTTACAACATACCTAGGAAACTAATACAGTAACTCTATTTTTTGAGACACTTGGCAGCACCTTAAGAATGCCTCCCAGTAAGTTGTGCTGACAAACTGCCAGCTCTCACTCATGGGGCTGCACTGGCTAGTTGTTGTCAGCACCAGTTTTGATTGGTTGGATCCAACTCATTCTGATTGGTTGATGCCTCTGTCACAGGTTGTTAAATATTTTTAATATCATTCCCGCCTGGAAAGTAGGCCATCAGATATCCAATACTGTCATTTTTAATTATTTCATTAAGGATATCCATTTTGTAGATGGAATTACTGTTTTAAATTCCAGCTCTCCACTATCTCACCACAAAGCAGATCCTATAATGGTCTTCCACCATTGAAATCTTTGTATTTAGAAAAATGTAAATTTAACATTGGCTTAAACTGAGAAAGATATATGTAGTGACTGTTGTCATTGCCACTTTCACATCAAACATCAATTCTTCCTTCTTTTGGAGCAGTACTAATTGCTCCTCTAAGGAACCATTTCCTGATTGAGAAGGGAATGGTTCCTTAGAGGAGCATTGGCTACTGTTCCACTAATTACAGCTCCAGGGATAGACACAGGTCTCCAATCTTGCCAATCAGTACTGCTGGCCCCAGAGACTCTGGAGGACAAATGATCTACAATCACAGCCGATGGGATGAAATTCGGGATTTGGTTTGGGGGGTTTGGGAAAGATGGCTGTTCTCTTTTCCACTAGGTTTGAGCCAGACAGACCACAAAAAAAGAAAAAGAAAAAAAAAAAAAAAAAAACTGGCAGGCATCATGTAATTCCTCCGCAACTCAGAGGAAAGCAAGACCATGAGATGCAGAGAAACCAGATTCTGACTACATTATTTATACCAACCATATCTGAAACTAGTTCTACCTCAGATTTTTCAATTACATGTCCCCAAAACGTCCCTTCTTTGCTTCACCCAATGGGTTGGGTTTTCTGTCACTTGCAACCAAAATAATTTTGCTATTTAGTAACATAAATTGTATTTAACAGCTTAAAAATAGAAGATTTCTATTGTATTGTCAATCTCACTGTGATAGATAATCAATAGTTGATTATATAAAAGATTTACCATATACAGTTATGCATCACTTAACAGCAGGAATACCTTCTGAGAAATATCATTGGGCTATTTTATCATTGTACAAACATCATAGACTGTGCTTACACAAACCCAAATGGTATGGCCTCCTACACAGGTAGGCTATATGACATAGTTGCTTGCTCCTAGGCTGAAAACCTGTACAGCATGTTACTGTATTAATTGCAGGCAATTGTAACAAAATTGTAAGTGTTTCTGTATCTAAGCATATCTAAACAAAGAAAATGTACAGCAAAAATACAGTATTATAATCTTATGGGAACATTGTACATGTGCTCTGCCCTTGACCAAAATGTCACTATGCAGCATGACTATACAGTAAAACTATAATAGCACGTGTTTGTGAGAAAAATTACTCAAAGTCTGCAATTTCAAAATGATCTAGCCACAGAGATAAAAACCGAAACTCTCAGGATATTCAGAGAACACAGAGCTGCACTGTGTGTACTAAATATAATTCATTAAATGAGGGTAACTGCTCTATTTTTTATTTTTCTATACCTAAGCCCTGATCACACAACCTCCTCTTAAGAGAACATAAAATTTAGTAAAATTCTAATTAGAATGCAAAATACAAATCCTTTGACATTAAAAGAGGTGAGTCAAAAATTCTTGTGTACCTATGTTATAAAATCTAAATAAATTATCTGGTGTCTTTCCCAATGAGTTAAGATAAAGGATATGTCACTTTCAATATTGCTTATAATTTGAGGAATTTACTTACATTTTAGGTAATTTCTAAAACCATTTTTTATTATCGATAGGGAGGTACACTGGGTTTTTTGCTCTATATTCGGTAGTGGTGATTTTTTTTTCAGTATCAATCTTTTCAGTCAAGATTAGCCTTGAAAAATTAAATACAGAGTTTTTTGGATTTTGATTTCCCTTTAAACACTTCCACAGAACTAGGTCTTTCTCCTACTTTGTTTTAATTTAAGGCAGAAAAATATGTTTTGTTCTTCACTGTTGAAGGATGCTTTTTTAGAGACAAGGAAACTCAAAAGCATGAGGACCACCACTCTGTGTCAGCCCTGCAGTCATCTAGCCCAGTAAACGATGTTAACTCAAATTTCCCCTTGGCAATGAAGTTTTCCTGACCGTTTCACTTAACACTCCTCTCTAGTTTCCCTGCATTCTTTTTGTACTTATCATAGCTTACACTTGAACATTTAACTCTTCTTTAATTTTTTTAACATTTGTTAGTTTTACTTCTCCCACTAGATCATAAGCTCAGGGCCTAGGCCTCCATTCTCTAAAGGATGACAGGGTCTTTATAGGATCCAGATTCCATTCCACGTAAAAACCTAATCCAGATAGAGTCTGAAAACATCCTGGACAAGCATGAGAGGATTTAAGAACAAAGGGAACCTTCAAGTTTATCCAATTCAAGCCTCTCATTTTAGAGATAAGAGGGTGAAGAACTAAAGCACTTCTAAGAAACTTATCTTACACTAATTAGTTGGAGGCAGAGCAGGAAGTGGAAAGCGGATCTCTTGACCTGAGTATTCTTTCTAGTACACTAAGCAAATTCTGCAAGGAGCAGGACCATGGCTTATTGACTCTCGTGGACTGGTGTGAGCCAGTGCTTTGCACTTTAAATAACAAACTCAAGCCACTCAAGTGTGGTCTGGGGACCAGTCACAGCATGAGCTGTGAGCTTATTAAGACAGACATGCAGAATTTCAAGCCCCACCCCAGACCTCCTGATTCGGCATTTAAAACATAATCTCTAAAAAGAGCCCGCATTGCCAAGACAATCCTAAGCCAAAAGAACAAAGCTGGAGGCATCACGCTACCTAACTTCAAACTATACTACAAGGCTACAGTAACCAAAACAGCATGGTACTGGTACCAAAACAGAGATATAGACCAATGGAACGGAACAGAGTTCTCAGAAATAATATCACACATCTACAACCATCTGATCTTTGACAAACCTGACAAAAACAAGAAATGGAGAAAGAATTTCTTATTTAATAAACAGTGCTGGGAAAACTGGCTAGTCATAAGTAGAAAGCTGAAACTGGATCCCTTCCTTATACCTTACACAAAAATTAATTCAAGATGGATTAGAGACTTAAATGTCAGACCTAAAGCCATAAAAACCCTAGAAGAAAACCTAGGCAATACCATTCAGGCCATAGGCATGGGCAAGGACTTCATGTCTAAAACACCAAAAGCAATGGCAACAAAAGCCAAAATTGACAAATGGGATCTAATTAAACTAAAGAGCTTCTGCACAGCAAAAGAAACTACCATCAGAGTGAACAGGCAACCTACAGAATGGGAGAAAATGTTTGCAATCTATTCATCTGACAAAGGGCTAATATCTAGAACCTACAAAGAACTCAAACAAATTTACAAGAAAAAAATAACCCCATCAAAAAGTGGGCAAAGGATATGAACAGACATTTCTCAAAAGAAGATATTTATGCAGCCAACAGACACATGAAAAAATGCTCATCATCACTAGCCATCAGAGAAATGCAAATCAAAACCACACTGAGATACCGTCTCACACCGGTTAGAATGGCAATCATTAAAAAGTCAGGAAACAACAGGTGCTGGAGAGGATGTGGAGAAATAGGAACACTGTTACACTGCTGGTGGGACTGTAAACTA